CAAGTTCATACCTGACATGGAAGTTTTTCTTCATAATGAAAACAACAAACTAGCAGGATTCATTTAATAGGTATTTGTTGTGTGCAGAATCTCTACAACATGACGGGTTGCTTTTTTGGCAAAGCAAAGAGCACGGAAACACAACCACAAGAAAGCAACAAGTAAAAGCAAGAAAGAAAGAACACAAAGAACTTTTGGTTTGTCACATGTGACTACATCCACATGTGAAGACTGCTGATGGTTTTTCACTATGCAAGGGAAAGAAATATATAACATGGTTCTCACCTGAGAGAACCAGATAACACAAACTCAATCGCTCAATTAGCCTTGATCTACACCTATCTCTACGTGTAAAATCTCTCACTCTCTCTCTCTACAAAATAACTTTATATGGAGAAAAGAAAACCAAAAATCACCACAAATACCTTCCTATTCCCTAGCCTTTAGGTTAGTTTCATCTCTTCACATTGGGTTCAAGTGACCATCCCAATCCAAAAAAGAACGCTCTCCCCAAAAACTATTACCAAATAAGCATTCACATCCCCAAATAGTAGAAAGCCAGATCCGACAAACAAGGAAATCCAAAATATACCCCAATGCATGTTTGGGTGGGATTAAGGATATCCCAACAAATCTTCACCTTAGTTTGAATTTCAAGAGAGATTCCATTTGACTGTCTTCTCCAAACATGCTCCCGGAGGTCTCACCTTGGTATCACATTAATCAACAACAACCATAGCTTGAACTTTTGTTACGAAAACGACTTTGTCAAGCATATCCGCAACATTTCTTGGTCTCAATCTTCAATAATAAGATACCACCCTCAGCTATTATCTCATGGATAAAATGATACATGACATCAATAATGCTTTATGCAAACCTTGTTGTACTAGAGTACTGAACATTGACGTGCTAGACCCTGAAATCATTTTTGCCACCAAAATTTTGCACCTCAAAATTTGTATTCGGGGTCTATTACCATCGGGACAACCCTAAACTGGGCTCGAATACCACTTTGTTGTGTGTGGAAGCTCTAAAACGCGCCGGGTTGATTTTGGGGTAAAGAGAGAAAACACAACCAAAGCAAGCAACAAGTAAAAGCAAAAAAGAGAGAACACGAATTGTTTACATGGTTAGTCACCAATATGACTATATCCAAGAGAAAAGACTGTCACCCAATTTTCACTATGCAACATAAATAAAAATATGCCATGGCCTAACATGAGAGAACCGAACTCAAACTTAATCTCTCAATTAGCCTCTTTACACTCTCTCTCTCTCTACACCTACAGTCTCTCTAAACTTTTCCTCTCTCTACAAAAC